GGAGCTCCTGCTGCTGCTGCCATGGGGAGCCTGGGACAGGGCCAAGGAGGTGGCAGGTGAGGGTCCATGGCCGGGAATCGGCGTGTCCTTGGGGAAGGGCCAGCAACACCTCAGCAGTGAGCAAAGCTGTCCTCGGTGGTGTCACGGAGGTCCAGGCCAGCCATGGCTGGGGGGTGGAGGCAGGTGAGGTTGTTGTAGGTGTAGACAGGGACGTGGGCATCGTCCCCCTCGGCCACGGACTGAACGAAGCGTGGGACCACCACGGGGTGCTGCAGGGAGAAGTCCCGCAAGCCCTTCAGGGAGCAGTTGCAGTGCCAGTTGTTGCCCCCCAGCCACAGCTGCTCCAGGGCAAAGGAGGTGCACAGGAAGCCCACCGAGAAGGTCTCCAGTGAGTTGTTCCTCAGGCTGAGATATCGCAGGTTGGCCAGGGGGGAGATGATGGTGTTGTCCAGTGTCTCCAGCTGGTTATGGGAGAGGTCGAGCCAGAAGAGTCTCTGCAGGGGGCTGAAGGTGTCCTGGGAGATCTCCAGGAGCTGGTTGGAGGTGAGGAAGAGGTATTCCAAGTTGCTCAGACCCACAAAGAGCTGGGGTGAGAGATGGGTCAGTCTGTTGTGCTTCAGGTCCAGCTCCAGGAGCTCATGCAGTTCACTGAAGCTTTGGTCTTCAATGACAGAGATGCTGTTGTGCTGCAAGAAGAGCCGCCGCAGGCTGGAGAGCCCAGAGAAGGTGTTTGTCTGGATCCTGCTGAGGCAGCTGTGCTCCAGGTGGAGGCTGTGCAACTTGGTGACCCCCTTGAAGACATAGTCAGGAAGGACCTTGATGCAGTTTGCAGACAAGTGCATCACCGCCACGTTGTACAGCCCCAGGAAAGCCCCAACCCTGATGTCTTGTAGCTGGTTGTTGTTGAGGCTGAGGACCTCCAGGTGATCCAGCCCATCAAAGGTCCTTTCTGCCAGACTCCGGATCCTGTTGTGCCCCAGCTGCAGCTCCTCCAGGAACTCAAGATCTTTGAAAGTCCTGGGCCTGAGGCTGGTGATGGAGTTAGTGGACAATCGTAGGACGTGCAAGTTTGGGAGGCCCAGAAACGTGTCCTCAAACAGCGAGACGAGCCGGTTGTGGGAGAGATCCAGCCACCGGAGGGACTTCATGCCTACGAAGGCACGGGGCGCGATGGCGTTGATCTGGTTGTGGTTCAGGTACAGCTTCTGTAGCTTCTGCAGCTTGACAAAGATGTTGATCTTGATGCCCTTGAGCGCATTCCCGCTCAGGTCCAGCTCCTTCAGCTCGGTCAGGCTGCAGAAGAGCTGGTGCTGGAGGTAGGGGAGCTTGTTGCCGGCCAAGATCAGCTCCCTTAAGTTGGGTAAGTCATGGAAGACCTTGTCAGGCAGGACCACGAGTGAGTTCCAGCCCAGGTTGAGATACCAGAGGTTGGAGAGCCCAGCGAACAGCCCTTCCTCCACCTTACTGAAGTAGTTGTTGTTGAGGCTGAGGGAGACGAGGTTCTGGGTGTGCAGGAACGTGTGAGGAGCCAAGTGCTTGAGGCGGTTGCGTTCGAGGTGGAGGTGGTAGAGGCTCTGCAGCCCGTGGAAGGCGTGCTGCTCCACGGTGGCCAGCTGGCTGCTCTGCAGGTCCAGAAAGTCCAGGGCTGAGATGTTCCTGAAGGCAGCAGCTGGCAGCAGGGTGAAGTTATTGCCGTCCAGCCAAAGGGCTTTGGCGTTGGGGGGGATGTCCTCGGGCAGGCGCGTCAGGTTGCGGGCGCTGCAGAAGACATTGAGCTCCTCGCTGTAGTCATCCAAGCTGCAGGCACAAGGGCTGGGGCAGCGTGGAGGGTCTGTGTCCCCCTGGTCCTTTGGG